TGGTTTTTCCCTCCTATCTGGGGGAGCTGCTTCCTTCCCCTTGAATTTGGTTGCTTACCTGAGTCACTCCCAGGAAACTTGTCTCAGCAGAGTAATGGCTATAGGGCCCAATTCTCCAAACCCTTGTTACTGAACCCTGGTGTGAATCAGATCAGACCCAGTGTGTTCTCCCAAAGAACATCAGGGCAATGGATTGTATACCTTGCACAGCTTTCTGACAGGATACAGCCCAATACTGTGTGATTCTGAGGGTCAAAATCCTCTGAGTTTCCAAGTGTACTCTGTTGCTTTAAAATATTTATGAACAGATAAAGATATTTATGTACAGAATCCTACTCTATTTCTGTTCCTACCCATCACAACAAAGTGCAAAAGCATATAAAACATAACTTTTGATCTCAAGAGTTTACAATCCAGTGGAGATAATGTGACAGCCATGTGAACCAATTCCTAAATAAGGATTTCTTATAACAGCATGATGATGATATCTCAAACTAACTTTTATGATAAACTGTGGGGCATATATAATTAGAGAAGAATCTATAACAAAGTATTTAGTAAAGAGAGTTAAGCACGTGCTTGAACTGGTTGTTTATATTGTTCTTATTTATTATACAACAACTTCTGCCCATTGTTTCACCAGTATTTTCTACTTAGGTGACATTGAGAATCCATTTTTAACTAATACAATTGTAGCCACCAGTTTGATGTAATGAAAATATTTCTTCTGCTGGCCAGAAGCCCATACTAACACTCCTTTGCTGATGGAGATCCAAAACTCCCTTTGAAGGAAACCCCAGTATGAGAAAGACATTCACAAATCCCTGTCCATTTGGCAGTAAAAAAAAGTTATTCTTTCAGCAGAGTATTGACAAGAAAGAACCAAATGGTTTGCATATCTGAATGGTGCTAATAAATGAACACTGACCTAAGTGTCTCATCGATTTTACTTGAGGCTGTCACACATCTTCTACTAATTAAGGTGTCAGTCAGGCTCTGATCAGATCTGAGTAGAGGACAACTATGGGAAACTCCTCTCAGCCCACATGCTCACAGAGGTAGCAGAAAAGAACACAACATGTTCATCCTTCATTGTCTTTCCCTACATCAGCCTATTGCTTGTGTTAACAGAAAGAAGCAATCAAATCACAACCCCATTGTCCAAAAGCTACTTTGGACAATGTTTCAAAAGTTGTTTTTGAAAGTTTTTATAATTCTATTAGGACATGGAATACCTAAGTAAAACTTGGAGAAATAATATATGAAAGAAAAGTGCCGAGCACCAGTGGCTCATACCTATAATTCTAGCTACTTGAGAGGCTGAGATTGGGAGGATAGTAGTTTGAGGCCAACTGGGCAAACAGTTCACAAGATCCCATCTCCAAATTAACCAGAGCAAAATGGACTGGAGTTGTGGCTCAAAGCAGTAGAGTGACTGCTTTGCAAGTGTAAATCCCTCAGTTCAAACTCCAGTCTCATTAAAAAAAAAAGAATATATATATTTACATATATAAACATATGTATATATAAATGAATATATATGTTTATATATACATATACTTAAAATGTATATATATATATATATATACACATATATATATTTCTAAATCTATCCTGCATCTCTGGGACAGCAGACTTATGGGAGACAGCCAGGCTTTCTTGCTTTAGAAGGCAACTATGTAAGTGTTTGGGTTGAGACGCCCTCCTGCCAGGCTTCAAATTAGGTGAGACTGGCAAAGTAAATAAAAGGTAATGGGTTGTGTCCATACATGACTTCATTCCACCTTTTAAATGACTTTATCAATAACTACTAGGGCAAGATTCAGCAATAATGATGAGTAATAGGTGCCTCCTGGTTGTAGAGGGCTATTTCCTAAGGTGTTCGCAGTGTGCCAGTGAGTACACCCAATGCAGTTTTTCTTAAATGATTAATGTTTTCTTTCTTTCCACTCATGCTAACTACACCCAAACATCTTGAACTGTCTTAGACAGATTCACCCTCAGGTAGGAGCACTGCTGCACACACAGATGTGTTTAATAGAGTTGCACAAATCATGCTTTCATTTATCTCCCCCTTCCCTGTGGTCATTGCTTGTCTTCTCTATATTAAAATTCTCTTGCTTCCCTTTGAACATAAATTTAAGGACTGTGTTTAACTGCACGTTGGGATGCAACACAGATGAAGGGGTGTTTTTAACAGTATTTTACCAAATTTAATTTGTGTCTTTTTTTTTTCCCAAAATAATTTCCCACTTCCCAAACGGCTGCCAGTTGGTAGAGATTTGGAACCTACAGTTACCCTGGAATACTAAGGGAAAGATTCAGAAATCTATTTGCAGAGCACCATTTACTTAGCTCTTCCTCCAGGTTAGACAAGGGGAGGGACTTGCCCTCCCTGCTGGAATAGCATGCATCTCCTAGCATTGCACGCCCCCTGCTGCAGCAGGCTGCATGTGCATCCCTTCTGCAGGCATTCTGGAGCTGTGCTGTGCATTATGACCAGCCAGTCCATTTCATGCTACTTGGGTGTTGGCGAAGTGATTAGACACAAAACCACAACTCTGACAAAGTCCTCCTTGGGCTCTATTTTGACAAATAGATCCAATTTATGGAGTATCTGTTTTGGGGACAAGAGAGTTGGGCCCCAAGCTGGGCTCTTCAGACGCCTCCAAATGGACAAATACGGTCAGCTCCCCCACGGGTCTGAGCAAATCTGGACCTAACTCTAGCTCAGGTCACCTGTCTCAAGGTGACGTTGGGGTTCCCACAGGGTTCAATATAATGCCACAAATTGGAGGAACACCCTTGTGTTAAGATGTATCCTAGAGCAAAGAAACACTAGCACTGGGCTTTGAGAGAGAAAACCTTGGGAAATTTCTTTAACCTCTGATCCTTTGTAAAACTATCATTTTTTAAAAGTGATTGGATGATGTTTTAAGAACTAATATGTAATCTATTTTTGAATGCTCTGTACATTTAAAACATGCAATATAAACTTCCATCTATTAGTAATATATAGGACAGATGATAATATCTGACCCCAGTGACCTGTCCTCAAAGCCTTTCCTGAAATGATCTCCAGGTTGTAAGACTTGTATGTAGTCTTCATGAGTTTCTGTCAAAATGACCTTAAACACCTATTGCATGGGATTACTTAGGGATTCAATGACACAACATATGCTGGTCACATGGCACATTCACAATAACTGTTAGTTCCTTTCTCCTCCTCTCTTCCTTCTTCTTGTCTGAAGTGGTCAACATCTGCCTTTGACACCAGATACTAATAGTTGGGTAGATGAAGGACTACAGTTCCCTCTTTCTGAATTGTCTCCAAAAAAACTGAGAGGCAAATATTTCTTGTCGCCATTAGATTTCAAATATTGGCAAAGAACCTTGCAATGGGAAATAGGATCAGGAGTAGAGGTGGTCTTTAAAACCTTCCATAGTGGAAAGTAAACTGCCAGAAACTTCAAGGTTTTGCCTGTTCTGGAACCATGTGTACTTCACTGTGAGAAGGAAAGAGATTTTCTTCCTTTAATGATGATAAGACAAGCAGCTTTGATGAGGTCATTTTGTAATAGTTGAAATTTTTTGAAATAATACATTATAAATATTCTTACTTTTGAAAACCAGAATGCTTAAGAAAACAGATGCTCAGTCTTCCTACAGCAAATTAGCAGACAAAAAGAATGTTTTAAACTGAGTAAGAGTTCAGTAATAAAGTCACACTTACCTGCATGCATGCATGCATAAATACTTAACACATATTGTGAGTAAAATATACATTTTTATGCTTTTACATGTAATTTTGTTTGGTGATAGCACTGAAAATTCTGTGAGTCTTCTTAGGTAGTTTGTAAGTTCCCATGGAAAAACACAAGAATTTAAGGACAATCACTATTTGATGGTGAGAAAGAATTGGCACATGCCTTTCTCCACCTTTACCCTAGTTCTGTCATCAGCCTGATTATGAACTGGACAGAGCCCAGAGGGAACCACACAAAATTATTCATTGAATAAATTTGTGTGAGCTCTTCAAGTCTGGTTAGACATTGTTTTGGCATCCACCAAGAGCAAGTTTTACTCTAGTTAAATCAGATCTCTAGAGAGGAACTACAGGGAAGCTTAGACATTGCTCTGGTTTTATAAATGATGAAACTAAGGCCCGGAGAGGTCACGTGACTGGAGTGCCTTCCTTTATTATCATCTCTCTTTCTACTGTCTTTGTCACATGTATTGTTTACTGGATCCACAAGAGGGGTGGTGTTCAGAGCATAAGCAGGTAATTCATTGACCTTCTCTCAGTCCTCCATTGAATGGATTCTTTCCAACAAAAATGATAATCATGATAAGCAGAGAGAAAGAGATAACTGTCCTAACTTATTTCTTTAAAATTTCAATGCAAAATTTCATATCTGATTGTAACAATTTAACTTTCTTCTTAGAAGTAGACAGAACTCCTTTGTGAATTAGCAGTAATATCCTTGTGCTATGTTACCAGGAAAACATGTATTCCAAGTTGTCCCTTGGCATTTCATCCACTCCACATTTAAGAATTATTTATTGATCGTCTTCTACATGCTAGCCCTATTTAGAGTCTGTCTCTGGGTACACCAGAGAGAGAACAAAGCAAAGATTCCTGGTTTTGAGACTACATCTTAATGCATATCTGTGAGACAAGAATGAACTATTGCGTTCCAACAGCAAATTATTTTTGTACAGCAGTCTAGTGAAAATGTCATTTTTAAAAATTATCTTACTGAGAAGAAAACACCTAGTTCTCTCAAGGAAATTGGTTTTTAGTCAAGTTGCATGAAATTTGGCTCAATACTGCCGCCTTGTGGCTGATTCCACCAGAAACCCATATATGTTACAAGGTCAACCTTGTCTTTAAAGTAAGAGTTACAGGAACAGTAACCTGTTTTCCCAGTGGAAGTCTATGACACAAAATTGCCTAGTGAGGAACATTTAGCGTCTAATTCTGTCTGCTCCCGTGACAGAATGATTGGAAGGCCTCCGTCGCTTTTGTGGTTGGGAACCAGATTGAAGATGATCTTCTCATTCGAGCCCTCACCTTGGCTGTGCAAGTCCCTCAGCGTAAGCTCTTCAGTATCGTGTCATGGCAAGACATCCTTCTGCAGGTACCTGCCTTTCCAACCTCAACACCCTTCCGAGACATTTTTAGATAAAACATTAAGATGATAACATAAATGAAGGCATCATATCCTTGGGCAGTATTTCAGTGAAATACTTTATGTAAACAAGTAGCTAGAGTAAGTTTAAATTGTTTAATCTAGAAGAAATTGCTTTTTTTTTTTCATTATTGTGGTCCATTCAACATTCATTCATTTGACAGATTTCTGAGGCCAATCTATGTACGATGTTAGGTTCTGGGAGGAATTACTTAATAAAAGGTTAAATAATAATGAGAGGCTAGACTAAATAAGGTTCCCAGAAAGAATATGATTGGTTAGGAAAAGAGGTCTACAGAGATTAATGGCCATCAGAGACCAGGGGAAGGATGACATAGAGAAGATCTTTCAGATGGCACATCCCTGTACAATTACTTCCCATCTACTTAAGTACCTGTAAATATCCCACCCAACTGATGAGCGTTCCTTTCATGCTAGGTTCACCAGTGGCCTACACCACATAGGTACTTGAAAGTTACATGTATCTATATACTCTTTTAGCAAGCCTTGTTTTTCCATTCTAAATAAATTTTAACTTTCTTATAGATCAATGAAATAAATGCACTTGTTGGAGCTGCTTCAGTTAAAAAGGCAAAAAGACCTGGAGTTGGTACAGTTAGTGCTCCATTATTTTATGAGGTAGGTTAAAGTGTTTATCCAAGAGCTTTTTGTAATTTTTAGAAAATGAGAATTGAAGTAATAATGTGATAGATATTTGTTTAATTATTCGTTGTGGTACTGGGGTTTAAACTCAGGGCCTTGTGCTTGCTAGGCAGGAGTTCTACCACTTAAGCCATACTCCCAGCTCTTTTTGTTTTAATTGTTTTTCAGGCAGGGTCTCTGATTTTCTTCACCAGGGCCTGGACCACAGTCCTTCTCCTACTAAGGCTTCCTGCATATCTGGGTTGTCAGGTGCACACAACTACAACACACTTGTTGGTGGGGATGGATGGGGGGACCTGGAACCAAAATCCTCCCAATCTCTACCTCCCAAATAGCTGGGATTATAGATGTGAGCCAGCACCCCTAGCCTAATTCATTATTTGAAAGTAAATCCCTGCTCCTTGTTGAAGATGGTGCTTATTCTTGATGCCAGATGTAAACACACACAAAAAAAATCTGCTAACTTTTAAGCAAAATCCACTGTCAGGAATAAAATGTCTTTGACTGTTTATACTGTCACTACATCCAATTAAAAAACGTAAATCAGAAAGTACTGATTGTACTTTTTCACAATAATTACTGACTGTGTGATGGCATTAAAGGAAGTCATTATTAGTGTATTACGAAGTGTTGGTTTCATAAAAGAAACAAGAAAGAGGTTCTTGTATAAGACAGAGCCACAGCTGGAATAATTTTCCATCAGTTAGTGAACTTCATGCACATTTTACATCCCACTTTAATCAATGTGAAAATGGCGACACTTTTCAAATTAATGGTCCTTTCCATTTCTAGCAACTGCTTAATACAAAAGTCCAACTTGTGTGAAGGACTTAGAACTCAAGCTCAGTACGAGGGGATTTCCTCTCACCCAGCCTTGTTAATATTTACCTTACAGCTTGCAAGAAACTATAAAAATCCAGTGGTTAATTAGAATATCATTTACAATTTGTCAGGCACTGTTTTATGGCTCTGCAGACCTAAAACGTAAAGATTTTTTGGATCTTTCTAAGGCAAACTTGTTTGCACTTTATTTTGTTGATGACTAATGAAGTTGTTACGTGTCTTAGGTCTGGGATAATTCCATAATGATCTCTGAGTATGATCTGAACAAATTTCATTAGCTTAAGCCACAATTGCTAGAAATTTGAATTTTATGACATTAACTATTGCTGCACCACTGTCCTTGCCAACTTACTTTATACTGTTGGAGGTTGGAGACAAATAACACACCTCCTATCTTGTGTTATGGTGTCCTGAATGTGTGTGTACTCCAGTTCAAATATGATGTGTACCTGGATTTAAATATTGGAATTTTTCTTCTGAAGTGGTCACGGAAAACCATCCGAATCTCAGGCCTGGGATCAATTAGCCTCCCAAAGGATTCTTTCTTCTTCAAAGATGCTCAGCAAAAATCAGAGATGATAACAGACCAGTTTTGACGTTTAATCTGGACAGGCATTTCGACTTGGATGTGGGATCGCACAATGCTACAAATCCAGAGTTAAGTTAGAAGGCCATCCCTCTCCAACATGTGCTGGGACTCTTGCCTGCATATTCCCCACTCAGGGGAGGTCCCTCTCACATCTGGCTCTCCCACATTCTTCCAGTGGAGCATTTGGGCAATAAGCCTCCCACACCCGCTCACATACCCTTTTCTGAATGGTTCCAGAAGGAAAGGGAAGGCAGGGTAGAACAACACAGAGACTGGACCTTGGGTGCACCAGACATTCATTAATATCAATCACTGTAGCAAGAATGATAAAGAACCTAAAACATCAGCATCGGCAGAGGACAGATTGCACATCTGGAGAAGGGGGAACATTTCCAGTCTTGATTCCTCCATACCAGGATGGGTCGCCTGGCATCTCCTCCCAAGAGAACTGAAATGCCACAGGCAATGCCTAGAGAGCACCAAAGTAGCTGTGAGTGACAGTCATGGATGAAGCCCAGAAGTCAAAATCTTTTGGAACTTCTAGACTTTCAAGTCATGGGGACAGTTTCCTCATGAGTCTATTTCTGTTTAAAGTCTTATATGGTCTATAGCAACTGGAACCTGCTGCAGGTGAGCTCCTCATAGCCTATTCAGGAAATTTTGCATTCTCTTTCTCAAGGAAACTCTACAGTGGAGGAGAAGACATAATCCCAAAAACTGCTTATTGCAGGGGAAACTCATAGAGTCCTGTTGCCTTGTAGACCTCCATTTTGGAGAGAGAACACAAACTATCATAAAGGCCCTACACTCAAAGGCCTATATTTACAACTAGTTGCAGGACACTCTCACTGGCCTTAAATCAGAGCCTTGTCACTCTTCTTTTAAACATAATTAACCAATCTGGCTTCCTGGCTTTGTAGCCTGCAGTTGATTAGGAGCCACCAACTAAATGAGACTTCACTACAGAGCAATTTATCCATGAGTAAAATAGTATCCGAACCACATTTCTTATTTCCAGTGACGACGTGAAATGTCTGGGCTAGCAAAGACCACATTCCTGAGTGATTTGCTCAAGGTTTCGTTTGGATGGCTTGGTGGTGTGTACACACAGCCTCATTTGAAATTGTGTAATTTCCCCTGAAACCTTAGAATTTCATCTAGCCATGATATTGTATATATGAGAGAGCCTTTATTTATAAACCATAGTATTTTGAAAACCTGCTCAGATTTTTGTGCTAATGTAATTCCACAGAGACAGAGACATTGCTACAGCTCCTTTGTTCATCCTCCTCTTTGTGGAAACCATGTTTTGCTCTAGCAGGAACTACTCCAAGGATTCAGGAATGGGAAGGGAACATTCTCCTTTGTGTCTCTTGTCAGGAGTGCTTAACTATTGCTTATTATTATCATTCAGTGATGAGGATGAGGATGAAGATGGTCCCATGCACTGGTGCCTACCATCTCCAACATGAAATCCTATTTGAGGATACAGATATACAAATATATGTACATTGTTTCATTATATATTGGCCAGTTTTAAGTTTGCATTAGCAAGTATGCTCTTATTCAAACACTCTTTATACAATGAAGATGGAGAGGGGAATATAAATATTGTAATGACTCTAACTTTGAGAAGCTTAAGGGGTAGTTATAGACAAAAAAAGGAACACATGTACATAAGTCTGGCACATAGGTATTCAATAAATATTTGTTGAATGAGTGAATAACACAATGAAGAAAATAGTGGAGTCTTTGAGGGACAGGTGAAGTGTATGAAGAATTTAAAGGAAGATGATATTGTCATTAGCTGGGGTGTGAATGGAGAGGAAGAATGAAATCCAGAAAAGTTTTTGAGGAGATTTGGAGGGAAAAAATAGGGGGCTTGATAACTTTGATCATATTTATATACATATGTGTGGGTGTTACACTTAGGGAAATGAAGGCATACAGAGGGTAGGAAATCTGCTAACTAGATAATCTAAAATTAGAAGTTGAAAGAACTTCAATTTAACTATAGTTAAATACATAGTCTCAAGTTTGTCCACTGTACCACAAACCCAATACTCTCATTGGTCCATCTCCTTTGGGGGCTGGGTAGATATGAACATTCGAATGTACAAAAAGGGAAGAGGTGGGCGAAGCCATGGGGGTGGGAGCTGGCTGAATGAGTGTGTGCTAAGTTTGTAGTTCCACAGTTCAATACACTAAATAGGAAAGTTACATTTTAATATATTTTATTTCATACATTTTCATTACAACTTTATAGATGGAAATCTGTAACAAAACATTTCAAGCACAGAAAAAAGCACATGCTTTAGATTGATGACAGAATTTAAATTTACTTGCTAAATATGCATAAATATTTTTCTGTGTATGATTTATGGCCCACATGGAGACCCTGACCTATTCATTTGCAGGTATACTGAGTCCTGACTGTAATTAAAAAGGAAAAAATTAACAGTCATTCAAAACCAAGTGAAATGTCCTAATGAGTGAGGTCTATGTGTACATAAACTTGAAGATTCTCCCACATGTGATTAAATCTGATACACAGTAGGTGAACATTTTAATACAGTGGTGAAAATTTCATACTTGGTATTGTGACTTTGATAAATTAGGAAGAAATAGCTACCAGTGGGACAGTGATTTGTTTCTACAATGTCATGGAGTCAGAGCCACTCATCCTAAAAGATTTTAGGTTCCATTCATCTTTCTCCTCTTTTCATGGTGGTGCTCAACATTCCTCTTACCTGGAAATAAGCTTCCATTCTCAGGTTGTCTGAAAAGACAACTTAGGACCTAGAAAAACAAAAGGTAAAAAAACCTGCTGAAATAAAAATCTACTAAAGAATAAAGGGGTTTACGCTCCAGCTGACAGGTCAGTTCTCAAAATTTCTACAGAATAAAGAACTTAGATGGCCCTAAAGATTATTTCAACCGCAAATGCGTATTAACTTCCTCCTCTTATCACTAAGGAAAAAGAGCTCATTTTTTAACAAATGTATCTTAATGAGAAAGTTCTAGTGCACCTGGGAAATGGGGAAAGATCATTGATTTGAAAATTAATAGAAAATTAAAAGGGGTGGGGTGCAAATGTTATCCCCTCAGATCTTATTATTTCACCCCACTTTAAAGACATTTTGCTACTGCATTGGATGAGTGTGCTTTTTGTTTTCTGCTTCCTGGGTGTATAGACATACTTCTTGGCTCTTCTTCCATATGTATTCATAGCGATTCACAGGGAGGAGCACAGATTTCGTTATGTCCATCTCACTGCTCCTTTCCACATTCCTAATGTGAAACTCACTTCTTAAATGGTGCCTCAAATTAACAGTCTATTCAATAAAACTGTAAGCCCTTATTTTTGGGGGGGTGGCCCTTGTCAAAATGAAAAATGGAAAGCTCATGCTTCAGAGATAGGAACAAATAATATGTGAAAACATTTAAGAGGTTTGAAGTTATTAAAATGGCAGATCTACTGGGAATACAAAGAGCAGTATGTCATGGAAGAAATGAAGGAAAAGAGAGACAGGAAGCATTCTCT